CGATCAGCTGTTCGGCGGCTCCAAAATGGCCGCCGGAGCCCCAATCGTCGCAAAGCGAGTGCGGCGATTGGGGCTGATCCGTATAGCGATCCCCAAAAAGGGATCGCTATACGGATTTTTCGTTAAACGGTGCACTCGTTAAGCGAGGCACCACTGTATTCACTGCCCTAATACACTTTTTAAAATTCTCTCATCCTTGGCCTTTCTGCAGAGCTGAAAAAGTGTTTAATTTGCTGAAGCAAATCATGAAGTGGCAGAAGCATCATCTGGTGGTATTGATTTTTCTTTTAAATTAAAAACTCTACCTTTTGTTCCATGGCTCCCACATCTTCCATAGCTTCCGTGCAGTGAAAAGGACACTGAATCAGAGAAGCTTCAGGACAGAAGGAGGAATCTTGTAATTATAAAAAAATCTCTCCCTACTGATGACATTCTTCTCATATAACAGACATAATTTGTACTACAGGACTTTGCCCACTGTACAGTAAAATCCTTAGTATTTGATTAGTGGATCTAGTTACCTAGCATAGAGAGTTATAAACATTATTCCGTGGTAGTTTACTTGGTGATCAGACTTGTAAATTAGATTCTGTTTATCTTCCAGTGCATGCTGGAATATAGGATACAGAAGTGATGAAACCTCATTCTAGAATGATACACCTCTTGTATCATTACTTCAAAACATGGCTTAAGCATATTGTCTGGTTTAAGGCTTAATTTGATTTATTTCATCTAGGTATTAGTTACAATACTCAAAATGTGATAAGGTTTTGTATCTAGAGTGCTTTTTCTATAGATTGCCCTCTGGAATGACAGACAGACAGAGAAGTTGCCAAAAAATAGCCTTCCACTTTCCTCTGGAAAGAACATTCTTCAGTAGAGTTGCATCTTGGAACCCAAATGTAGGTTAACAATGCTCAAATGTCAGAACCACTCGCAATGAAAGTCTAGAACTTATATTGGAACTAGTTACATTTAGACCTTGTGGTGACATATTGCCATGAAATTGGAAATGTAGGTAGGTGAACCAAGTGTACACTTAAGCTACCCATAGCCTGCAAGGATTTTTATTTTCATATTATACTAACTGTAAAGGGCTAATGCTGCTAGAAGCCTAAATTTGAACATGTCTGGTGTGGATCATTTGCTTTATTTTACTGTAAATTTGGCTACACTGGAAAGAAACTGCTTCAGATTTTTCATGCTGAATGTGTATGGTAGCAAATTTTTAAATCTCTTGAATGCTCTGTGGTTCTTGTTACACCATTTTAATATTTCATTTTAGTCACAGACTACTCTGTCTAATACTCATACTCTCATACTTCATGAGCACCTGTTTCAGTCAGACTACTGTTCTTTCTGTGATTTTGTCAGTGTACTGTAAAATGGGCTTGGCTGTAAAAGCTTTTATGTTTGGTTTATTTTAGCTCTACAATAGGTGAGTGAGTATCATTGGTCAGATATTCCTTTGTTGACCTCAGAGACTTTGGTCTGGCTGATATATCTGCCTTGAATACAAATTCCACTGAGTTTCAGAGGCAGTCTTGTTGAAGGAGGTAGTGGGCTATATCCAGCTGTTGGACACAAAGAGTATCATTGGTCAGATATTCCTTTGTTGACCTCAGAGACTTTGGTCTGGCTGATATATCTGCCTTGAACACAAATTCCACTGAGTTTCAGAGGGAGTCCTGATGAAGGAGATAGTGGGCTATATCCAGGTGTTGGACACAAATAGATTAGACCAATGGTTCTCAAAATCTGAGTAACAAAGGTTAAGAACCACGGGGTTAGACCAATGGTTCTCAAATGTGGGTCCCCGGGTGTTCTTGGACTGCAACTCCCAAACATCACAGCAAGTGATGAAGACTTCTGGGAACTGCAGTCCAAGAACAACAGGGGATCTCAGTTTGAGAACCACTGGATTAGACGAAGTGGCCAAAACACTGTTGCTTAACATAGCAAATTATACTAGGATAGGCCCACTGAATTAATAGAGATTTAGTGAGTTAACTGCTCCATATGTTCCATTGATTTGAATATGCCTGCTCTAACTGCAGTTTATTACATTAAAGTAAATTACAGTTAGGACAGGCTGGTTTGAATCAATGGAACTTACAGAGGAGTTGACTCACTAAATCCCCATTGAATCTATTCACCTATTTTAATGTGGTTTACTGCACTGAGCGACAGGATGTTGGCCAGTGAATCAATGAGGCATACACAATTGTTGACTTAACAATACCCTTTCATTCAATTGATTTAATCAGTTATAGTTAACAACTGGATTTAGCCCAGTGATGCTACACAGGCTGATCAGGTTTTAATATTTATAATCCCATTGCTTTCTTGAATACAAGTTATGTTAAGAAGTATTCCTATGTTCGTGTGTGAATCCTTTCATGGACTTCCAAATGAATAATGCATAGCCCACAGGCAGAGTGATCACTGATCATCTTCCAATTTTTCCTTCCAAATGTGGACCTCATTGAAATTTCCCAAAATTTCATACCTGAGCTTTGACTGGAGCATGTCCTAAACTGAAAGTGTTCTAAAATGGAAGGTGGGTTAAATAATATATTGAGGATTCAATGTCTGTTGTCAAGAATTTAACCTCATGCACCAGAGCTCTCAAGAATTTTTGTCTCTTAAAACTCTCACTTTTGGAGAGACCCAAATTGTAAACTGAACATGTGTAAATATTCCAAGAATTGGAATTCAGAGCTGCAATTTAGAAATCAGTATCAGTTATCTGCTCAATGGTTGTAAATTCCTTGGAAATCCATATAACTTCCAAAGACGTTCCATATAACTTCCAGGGAAGCAGTTAGGTGTTTCACATGGGAAAGCACACTTGCACAGAGAGATAGAACAGTGGTTGAAATCTGTTTGTAAGATGCAACTAGTGTTGGCCCATTGAATCAATGGAATTTATGGATCCATTGACTCACCAAACACCTTCTAATTCAGTGGGCCTAACCTAGTTGTGAATTACTACAGGGTTTCAATCACTGTGTCCTTCATTTTGGGGTAATATCTCAGTGGTCCAAGCATCATTTTCATATCTTGTTTTGGAAAGTCCTGAGATTTACAGGAAGGTATGTAGCAAAAGAGAATGTTGATTCTATTTTTTTAAAATATCACAATTGTTGGGCTAAAAATGATCTAAATTTAAAGAAAAGGAAGTCAGTGTTATATTATGGAACTATAAAATGCTTGATTTTACTTGAAAGGTTAAACATAGCGCTGTATAATGAACAACAGACTGAAGCTTCATCATTTGGATTCCAGCACTATATCTGCTTCCAGGTTAGGAATTATGATTCATGACCTGGAATGGGAGATATGGGTCTGTTTGAATGACCAACCTATTCTTACCTGGGATATCGATAGTTAAAGACATTTCAGCCAATTAACTTAAGAATTAAAACTAATACAATTACTCAACTAGATGTTTTTTTAAATTCTACATAGCAATAAATACATGTTCTCATTTATTCACCTAATACGACCACCATGTAGGGGGAAATTTCCAACTCTAGAGCTGGCATAGGTTATTTCAGTTTCTGCAATGAGCTCTCTGCATGAGAAACTAATGCTAAGGAGAACAAGCCTAGCCTAGTATGCTCTCTCTGGCACTCACCATGGATACCTTTTCATGTGTTCAGAGGACCATAGAAAATGTTCTGCCTTGTCAGCCAGGCGAGTCCGTCATGTCTTCTGTTTTCTTGCACTAATCACTATTTCCCTTAGCGTGGAAATGTTCACTGATTTTATTCATACCATATTCCCCTCCTTCCACAGTGGCAAGAAACATGTTGCTGAAACCTCTGAAAACAGGTAATATGTGTTGCATATTGGGTTCTTTATTTTTACAGAATACTTCTTCAGAATTTTCCAACTCCAGAGGGATGATGGCTGCCAGGGTAGTCTCTGGCCCAAACAGAGGGAGAAGGGCTCCTCATGGGAAAATGGCAGGGTAGGGTACCCTTTGTTTGGATGATTAGCCACCTATAATGACTATATCAAGCAGATTTAAGTCATGCTAATCAGTGGTTTAAACACTTCTTTAAAATGTCATGGACAATCGTATATTAAATACATGCTGATTATTAATATTATTGGTTTAATGTACTTGAAATGTTTTTAATGCATTTCTCTACCTCAAGAACCTTCCTGTAGAGGTCTAGGTAAATCTCTGTTTCCATCAGGTTTCAAATATAAATCGACTTAACTGTACATACATTGTTTTGTAATTTTTTGTTTATGTTTTTTCCCCTAAAATATTCTGCTCATGTAGTTGAGTGGTTAATCTCTATGGCTGAAATTCTAAATTCTGTTTTAATGTTTTGAAGCCAAAATTGAATAAATAAATAAATAAAATCTGTGGGAATGAGACAGACTATGAGTATCTGCAGGCTAAAGCCATTTCCCCTTTCCACTTTTCATTGGACTAGATGTATTGCACCTTATATGTGATCAATTGGGCTACCACTATGAAACTCAAATCCATTTGAGCTGTATCTTCTCCATCCATGTCTCATGATGATTTTGACCTATCAAATAACCTCTGCTTTAAAAAAATCTATTTGGACAGTTTAGCTGAATAGTGATAAAAGGCACTACAAAATTGTTCCTAGACTAAGAGTTAGATCCAAAGTTGCACTCTTTGAGCAGAAAGCATCTTCTATTCATGGAGGGCCTGTGCCAAGGGAAATGGAAACTAAATCAAAAGATGTTTTTCTGTTTGCACACGAATGCTCATGAGCTTGCAGATGATCATAAGCAAGCAGAAATATAAGAGTAGCTAAAAACTCTGCCAGTGATAACACTGTGTGAAGCAGCAGTCTGTTAGCTGGTGTTTCCCAAAGGTAATGGACTACAGTCCCATCATCCCCAACTAGAAATGCATGGCTGTTGGAGATGAGCTAGCCATTACTTTCTTCCTCCTATCACTTATTTGGCTCTAACTTACAGTCTTTTGATCTCATTGATGGATGGCGTGTTCATAGATGGAATGACGTGCGAGTCCACAGTAGTAATAATAATGACTACAGTAGACTTATGAAGGAGAGGCGTATTGGAGAGTTGCTATTGTAAATTTCTTTTCTGGAAATGCAACTCAAAAATATGGTACTTTTCATAATCCCAAAGCTTTTCTTGGACACCTAATACGAATATTCAACTATTTGCCATTTAAAGGAGCAACTCACTTTAAAAACTTTTCTGTTATCACACACAGCCTTTCATATTAACCAGGTTTGGTGGGTTGCCTCTTTAAATGCTGTTTTTAGCACAGGGAAAGTAACAAAAGGCACTGACTTGGGTCTATTCCCATGCAGGGATTTATGCACAACTGGTGACCCCAGATGGGAATGGAGAGTCACATTTTTTAAAGTACATCTAACCATTTCAACAGGGTTGCAATGCTGAGGTACATTGAGATGTGCAATATCAATGTGCATCCTCGTAACCTGCACATGCTGAAGCCTGCTTCTGAGTGCATGTTCTTTTGTTGGATCAGGGCAAATGGTTAAAATGGAATGCACAGCTAGTAATGTTGAAGAATCTGGCATTCCATGATAGCTTCACACTGGAGGCATGTAGATCTATGTGCATAAACTTGCCAGCTACTTTTTTTTACTAGTTTTTGACACCATACTAAGACCATCAAGTTGGTCTTAGGGCTTTCAGTCATAGATGATGTGATGAAATCTCTCTCCTTCTCATGAACTCTATGCCCTTGTAATCTCTGTTACCCAGCCCTACAGGTACTGCTCATGAGCCACAGTATGCGACATCAAGTGTTTGGCATCACCCTAAGTCTCGCAACACAGATGCCAACACTGAAAGAGCTAAAGCAGTGGCTTCCAAAGGTTCTGTGAGATTTGGAGCAGGTACAAACCAGAGGGAGGCCAGCTATGTCAGTGCTGGCCAAGCAGTCCCTCTTGCTTCATCCAGTAATCAAAGGTACACTGCGCTGCATAACTCTATGACTGATGTTGCTTGGTTATTTGTTATGGGCTTGTAATAACATCATCTAACTTTGAATGGAACAGACCCGTTTTTAAAGCAGCACATACACACCCTTATAGATGTATACCTATAGCACTGGTTCTTAACCTTGGGTTACTCAGGAGTTTTGGACTGCAACTCCCAGAAGCCTTCACCACCAACTGTGCTGGCTGGGGTTTCTGGGAGTTGCAGTTTAAAAACATCCGAGTAACAAAGGTTAAGAACCACTGACCTATAGGATAGCCCTATTGGAACATCACTGGGGTTGCCCACATAGTGCTGTTACCCAACACAGAATACTCATCTGAAGAGGTGAGCCCCAGGCATATACAGTACTGTAAAGTCATATACATGCATGGATCTCCTATCTTCATATCTGTGTACAGGGATTTATGTATATAACATAATGGGGTGGGACTGTGTGGTTCAGCAACCCCTGGGTATTCAGGTACAGTAAGCAGTTCACTAATGCCACAAATTGGGTTTAAACATTCAGTCAAAAGGACCATCCTGGCTGAAGGTGTATTGTAAGCATGAGGGACTCTTGAAGTAACAGTACTCGTGATTGTCATGTAATTATCTTTGAGTGATTATATCTACTTATCATTATAACTGGTTATAATTAACTGGATTTGCACAGTCCATGGGAGAGAAGATGCTCCCTCCCTTCTAGCAGAGGTTGGAAAAGCAACACTTTGCAAAGGGCCTGGAACTCTCCAGTCATCAAGGGGTTTCCAAACTAGAGAGAAAGTGAGCACATATGTCAAAGGTTGTCACACAGAAGTAAGTGGAGATCTGCCTTTTGCTGCTCCAGAGGTTAAATCTAATACATGTCAGGAGGACAGATTTCAGTTCAATATTGGAAGAAACTTCTTGACACAAAAATCAGTTAACGAAGTAGCAATATAATTAAGTATTAGCTATAACTTACCTAAAAGGACGATGGGTTCCCTATTACTGCAGATCTTCAATCTATTAGGGATTCACTAGTTTTTGGATTTTATGCATTAAGCATCAGATTGGACTAGATTCCATACAATTCCCCTCCAACTCTGTGATAAGAACTACAAGCAACAATCTGTCTAGGCTGTGCAGCTGTGCAGCGCTGCATTGGGGCCATGCAGCCACAGCCATTGCTGCCCGTGGGGTTACGGTCGTGGCTGGAACCCCACGTGCGCCCAGAACTTGTGGAAAATTAGAGAGAATGCACTAAATGGAAGTATCATTTAGTATGTGCAGTTGCTTTGAACAATTCTGACTTTAAAAGAAAAAGGTCACATATAGGAATTGTAGGGAAAAAATCACATACAGAATTCTGTATCTACTCTGAACTGATACGGGGGTTCCTTTGTGATATTTCCCCTTGACTTCAGTAGAGGTGGTGGATTTCATCCTTTTACTAAAGTGAATGGAGTCGCCGTTACTTTCACTACTGCAAGAAACTACTGAATTATAAAGAAAATAGAATTATATAGAATTATAAAGAAAGAAAGTAGAAATAGAAAAAAAAATGACTCAATGTTTACATACAGTATTGGACACAAAGTCAATTCAGGCAATCAGATTACTGCTTTATTCTAGTCCAGGCACTCCAGAAAACATGATTCTCACGTGCACTGGTGTTACATCCTACTAAAACAGAACTAAGCTATGATTATTTTTTTTAAAAAAAAAATCCATATTAACTCTTGATCAACATGCAACTTGGAAGTTATTGTGTGCCAGCTTTTAACAGGTTCAAAATGGTACTCAAGACCAACTGCAAATTTAACTTTTTGCATTTCTTAAAGGAGAATAGCTGTAACATTTGCCTTGTTTTATTTTGGGGGTTTTAAAAAAAGGCATCTGACCACTTATTATTCTCCATGTGACCTGTGTCTTATCTACTTACTGCTTAAAAGTGTTTGTGTGGGTTTTGTGTGTATTTAACACTATTTTTCATCCTTTTGCCATCATAACATATGTGGGATTTTGTAACATAATATGAGGAAGTTTCAACACTTTTCCATCAGATTGTGGGTTCACATTTCATCTCTGTCTTGTTACGCTGTATGGTACTTCATCTGTCTATTGTTCTTATGTATAGTGATGTATGTTTAAGGGCTGAGATTACCCTATATAAATATAAAATCCTGTGAAACTAATGGACTGGGAAGGATGATTCAAAGTATTTGGTTGGTGCACACAAATACACATACTTGCAAATTAAAATGGTTTTTCATTGCTCAGCTACTCAATATTTCATGGTTTGCAGCTGTGTGAATGGATTCCACCGAAAAGTTTTGGATCTGAGGGAGAGTTTGGTGATATGAACATTCAGTCTATAGTATTAGACCTGGAATGGTTCATTCATACCTGCAGGTCATCAGTAACCACTACAGTCATGCGAAGCAGTGAGTGTGCATGTGTGAACTAGTATACCTAGACAAAAGCAAATGGAGGATGAAACATCCAAAAAAAAAACCTGACCTTCCATTTTGCAAACAATGTGGTATCTGGCTCCTGTGATATATCAAAATTATTGCACAAAATGTTGTGCAGAATATATGATGCCTCATGCATAATTTTTTTCTGATACTCAGCAAGTTACAGATTTGAGTGAATCAACATGCATGCACTCTGAATTTAGAAATCTATGGAACAGCTGCAATGCCTGCATTTCTGAATAAGGAAATATTTGCTAACTGTAGTGTATTACTTTTAAAATGGAAATATTGGTTGAGTGATAAAGAACAGGTTTTTCTTAAAAAGATGAAAGGGTAGTTGGTAAATAATATTTTCCAGCTTTTTTTTGGTTTGCATTTCCTGAATACACTTCAGGAGGTAATAGACGGAATACAGAAATGAAATCATGTAAGATATTGATACAGTTGATTTGGTATCAGAGAGCATTGTAATTGGTTGGAATAATAACTCAAACACCTCTGGTTCAAGCTATTTACAGACACTTCCTGTTTTCCCTTTCTGATCTTCTTTCTGCTTTTTCCTCTTTTCTTCCTTTTTTCCTACTAGCCCTTCGAGATCAATCTTATCAAAATAGTGTAATGGTGGTCATGTACCATGACGGTTTATTTTCCTTGTTTGCACTCATGATCCTTTAAAACTTTTTGCAGGACGTGACTGCTCTGCAAAACATATTGTCTATGAGATTCAAAGAATGCATAAAATAGAGACAAGGGTCTGAGATAGTTTATAGGTATATGTGACTATACACAAATGTTTACACATGCCTTTAATGGCTAAGATATGTTTACACAAAAATGCTTAGTTTGCATGCATGCATGTGCATACGTACATGCACTGTAGTATACACTTTTTGCAAAAAGTGATGGAAGTACATCATCATTGATTTTTGAGGAAAATACTCGCAGGATCTAAGCAGTAGGATGTCTTTAGTGAATAATCTTAAAATACTGAATTTAAAGGAGTGGCCAATTGGGAAGAGAGGCCTAAAGTTTTTGCTGAAAAACAGTACTAAAGTAATGATTCAGTATCCCCATATGCATGTATTATGGAAGGGAGGTATGCAAAATATGCTATGACTCTGGCCCCCACCCACCCAGTTTTGAACACCACAGTATTGTGTGACTGGTACAGAGCATATAACCAGGAAAAATCACATGGTACAATTCTTACTGAATCACACCGTTCAAATTGTAGGTGAAGCATCAATACTCATAAGTGTGCATACAAATGCTTACATTAGTAGCAGAAAAAAAACCTGTTTATCAAAAATGTGAATTTCAGGAAGATTACAAGGCCGGAATCTTCAATAGCAGAAGAAGTTCTATATGAGGTCTCCAGTAATGAATGCAGTTATTACACCGAGCAACAGATGCACTCTCAACTTTTGAACAAATTTTGCTAGTAGAGGAAACCCAAAGATTGTAAAGGATTGTTTCAGTAAAGCACAGTAGTATTGTTTACTCAAAGAGATGTTTGCACAGATCTGTTTCTTCATGCAGCCACATATCATAGGTTCATAACTGTGTTGAGAAAGGTTAGTGTAAATTGGATGATACAGATTTTGTTTTACCTGAGAACTCACTTCAGGCCATAATAGGAGAATTACATAAGGAATTAAGGGGAGGATTCAGAGCTTGGGGGACATGCCCACCTGGTGACCATTGTGTTGGGGGTAGGACATGATGTGGTGACAGTATGGGTTAAAAAAAAAGGAAAAAGGCGGTCTCGTTGTCTACTTATTTATGAATATAGAATCTTTCCCCCATGGATACTACTTTTACCCATCATTCCTTCCCACCTTATCATATTTTGTATTTCATCCTCTTTCCAAGGAATCAGAGTGACATTCTGTGAACACCAAATAGGGGCTGTTGAGTCCAATGAACCCCTTTAACAACTTTTTCCCCTATTACTATTGCTCCATGTTTTCTGGTACAGACTGCTGCGTGTTTGCTCTGCGTACCATCTAGCACACACTTAACTTTTTTTCTCATAGATCTGTTTATTCATACCTGCACAATTTGGTACAGAAATTGGGCAGTGGACCTAGCTCTGAGACTGCTGTGTCATTCCCTATTAGCTCTAACTGTGACTGAAGCCTAACCAGACTTGATGCTTATATATCCTTGTGTTTCAAAATTGCTGAAGTAATTTTACTTACCTCTTTGTGCGTATCCAAAGAAAATGATCTTGCCCTGAAAATGCATAGCTTTTAAAAATGTGCCTTGTTTTGTTCAATTTAACTTTAATCAGTACCCCTGTTGAGCATGCGCCAGTGTCTACCAGCTGTGTCTCTTCTGCTATGCCGCCTGCTTCTGCCAATCAATCCACTAGTGCCACTTACAGTGCTGTCCGTCAGATGAGCCCAGCTTCAGCGTCAGCCACTTCAGTGGTACAGGACTCCAGCCCATCCTCCTGCCAAAGGTAAAACACTGTGCTTGTTCGCTTTATCCATTTGCTTTGATGTGTGCAGTAGGACAGGAAGGAGGATTTAAGAAAAGGGGAATGGAAATTTGGAAATAGCACTGCTAGTGCTAATATTAAGGTTGAATCGTTATACAAATGTTCATTCATTAATGTCAAACCTATAAAAGTTTTCATAAAATTAATACATTAGTTGATTCCTTAAACTGTTAAACTAAAATACCATTTACAATTACTGAAAATGGCGAGCAATGAATTATAGTAGTGAGGAATGATAATCATTACTTTTGAGTGGCTAGTTAAGAATTAAAGTGAAAAGTTAGAAAATAATTTAAACTGATAATGTGAATTAGAGACAAGAAATGAATTTTTAGGGAATGAACTGAGCTTTGGAAAGAAACAAGTCTCAGAGGATATCAGCAAATGATTACAAAGATTGATTTAGCACTGTATGAGAAACAAACACTCTATGTGGAAAAAAATTCAAGGCTTACAATAAAAAAAATGAATCAGAGGTGCTTTCAAAATCCTTCCCACCACTACAAGTTCAAGAAAGTCTGGTAGCATCTGATTCTGCCAATATACTTAAGCTGAAATGAGTAAAGACCTAAACAAGAATCATTCTGGATGGAGACTAATGTAAGGATGAAATATAACTATCATAAATCCATTTTTGTTGTGTTTTAAATCCCTGTCATGTCATTGTTTTCGTCTTTGATGACTAGCTATTTCTGAAATAACTGCTGCTGGTGAGGGATGAGTAGTAACAGTTTGGGGAAGAAGCCATTAGATGAAAAACCAGTTGTCACAAGAACTGTGAGTTCATAGGTGACCTCCTGTACTCCTGGTAAAATGATGATGCTCAGGTGACTAAACCAGTTCTTCTCAGCAGTTTGGAGCCTGGAATTTTTTTTTCTGGATCAAAACTAAAGGTACACCTCATGGAAAAAGACCATGTGTGTTCATGTGCGTGTGTGTATACACATAAACATACATTTTAGAATGGGCAAAATGTTCTCATGTTGTCAGACTACAACTCCCATTAGCCTCAGCCATAGCCACCATAGTCAGTGGTGAGGGACGCTAAGAGCTGCAACGGTATCTGCATTTTGCCAACTCATGTTCTAGAATCCTGGACACGAGTTCTCTTTGCAATAACAGGATCGCATTACTGTAGTGGTATTGGTTCCTAGGTGATTCCAGGCTCAAGAATGGGACTGTTTTCTGGGCAGTTGTGTTTACTAATAAGACCAGTGAACTTGGCTAGAATTCATGAAAACCTATGCCAGATAAAGCTGGTTAGTTATTAAGGTGTCTTTAGAAGGAGTCAAAGAAAAATAATTATGTTTTATCAGGTACAACAATAAAAGGCAGGAAACACAGACAGCACATCAGTCACCTTACTAGATCAGTTTAAAATGCTTGGACAAATAGTTTTGGGTGAGAAAAATATGATTATATGATTTCAATGCTAATTCAGTAGGGTTAGCACGATTCCTAAGAGCCAAGCACTCAAAACCCCTCTGCCCTAGAGCGCCACCTTTTGTCGGTTTTGCTTTTTTCCATATTTGAAATCTAAAATTTCAAGTTAATTCTATTGAGTTTTTAAAGACGTTTGTGACTTTTGAGGAAAAAAGACAGATGGATTTCCTAGCCATCCCCGGTCAGAATATATTTATTTAGAGCATCTCAGAGAGCTGGTCAGACCATGCCATAGATATGTATGCTGGGATGTCCGGGGTTCAAATCTCATTTCAGCCGCAAACGCAAGCTACACTGTGTTTCAGGCCCCTGCAACAGGTTACCTTGCAGGATTGTTATGAGGATTACTGAAATGTTTCATGTGTGGCAGTATTTAAAGGCAAAGCATGATTTCTCCTCCTACAATTACTCTATAAATGTCATAAGGGAAATATTTTTTAAAGAGCTCTAAAATCTTTCTGAAATACTTTTACAATATTTTCTCAGAGCCTGAAGCATGAAAACAACCAGAATTGCTTTTACTGAGCATTCTACCAGATAATATAGATAAAACAAAGAACTACCTAGTTATACATATGGTCACTGCAGCCAGAATTCTTTATGCTAAGAACTGGAAGAAATTGGAGATACCAAAACAAGAGGAACGTATTGAGAAGATATGGGAAGCGGCAGAAATGAATATTCTATCAGAAGTGTTGAAAGACTGTCCAAATACAAAAGGCAACTGAATGATGGGATTTGTTATATAAATGGCTTGAGTCACCAGATAGTGCTTGAATAACACAGAATTAAACTAAGATATAACTGTAAGTCGAAATCCGGAGGGCAATCAAATTGTAGAAAGGCGAAAAGTCGACTTGATATCACAGCATGAACAAATAGATTGGATGACAGTACATTTTGTGCTCTCCTTCCCCCTCTTCCCCCCCCCACATATCCTCCTCTACCTTTTGTACTCCTTACCTTATCACTAGTTTTTAAAAATAAAAAATAAATTAATATTGGCAGGGATTAATTAATGGATTTTGTAATCAAGGTAAAAAATTTAGAATAAATAAAAGATGTTGATATAAGGCTAAAAAAGGGTAGTTTAGGTATTCCTAATATAAAATATACAGCAAATCAGTTAAGATTTATTGGAGATATAATATATAACAAAGGAAAATTAATTTGGTGGGATACAGAATCCTCAGAAATAAATAGGAACGTTGAAAAATATTTGTTCAATGTAGTAAAAAGAAATACAATAAATCAGGTGAATAATCCCTTTTTAAGAAATATGTTAAATACAGTGGACCCTCGACTTAACGGAATTAATCTGTATTGGAACAATGGCCGCAGGTCGAAAATATTATTTGCTTGAAACTAAAATGCAAGATGAGATGTAAAAGAATGCATGATTAGGTGGGCACAAAATATAGGACATAATATTGATATTGATCAATGGTTGCAAATATGGAAAAAAACCATAAAGCTCATATAATCGATAAATTTTAAGGAGAACAAACATAAGAACTACCTAGTTATATATATAGTCACTGCACCCAGAATTCTTTATGCCAAAAACTGGAACAAATCGGAGATACCGAAACAAGAGGAACTCATTGAGAAGATATGGGAAGCGACAGAAATGGATATACTATCAGAAGTGATGTAAGACTGTCCAATACAAAAGGCAACTGAATGATGGGATTTGTTATATAAATGGCTTGAGTCACCAGATAGTGCTTGAATAACACAGAATTAAACTAAGATATAACTGTAAGTCGAAATCCGGAGGGCAATCAAATTGTAGAAAGGCGAAAAGTCGACTTGATATCACAGCATGAACAAATAGATTGGATGACAGTACATTTTGTGCTCTCCTTCCCCCTCTTCCCCCCCCCACATATCCTCCTCTACCTTTTGTACTCCTTACCTTATCACTAGTTTTTAAAAATAAAAAATAAATTAATATTGGCAGGGATTAATTAATGGATTTTGTAATCAAGGTAAAAAATTTAGAATAAATAAAAGATGTTGATATAAGGCTAAAAAAGGGTAGTTTAGGTATTCCTAATATAAAATATACAGCAAATCAGTTAAGATTTATTGGAGATATAATATATAACAAAGGAAAATTAATTTGGTGGGATACGGAATCCTCAGAAATCAATAGGAACTTTGAAAAATATTTGTTCAATGTAGTAAAAAGAAATAAATCAGGTCAGGTGAATAATCCCTTTTAAAGAAATACAGTATGTTAAATACAGTGGACCCTCGACTTAACGGAATTAATCTGTATTGGAACAATGGCCGCAGGTCGAAAATTCTGTAAGGGTCCATTAATGCTTTGAAAACCATTTAATCCGTAACCGGCATGACTGGCAGCGGAGAGGACTTCCGAGAGGCCTCCCATGGCAGCGGAGAAGCCCTGGAAGGCATCTGGAGGTCCCCCTCTGGAGCTTCCCGGGGAGTAGACTTCAGTCCCACAGTCAAAGCAGGTTATTTTTTCCCCACCCGAGGTGTAAAGGGAGAAAGGAGACATTTTCGGGGCCCAAATGAGGAGGAAGGCTGCCAAATCGGCGAGGAGCAAAGGCGAGCACTGATCAGGCAGGGAGAACCACTCACCTCCTCATAGCACCACAGACAAAGGCAAAGTGGGGAGGGGGGAGCCGTGCGGGCTCCGCAGGCGCAGCTAGAGGAGGAGAAAGAGAAGCAGGGACTTCCCATCCATCGGCTTCACTGCAGCGACGGCTGCCTTGCCTTGTTATGGTGGCAGCCGCTGATGGCGGAGAAGCAACTCGTTGCCGCCAGGGTCCCGCATTCGGATCATGGCACTGCTCCTGGCTGCATCTCCCCACATGGCGCCCCATCTCCCTTCCAGCGGTGTCTCACCTCCCCTCCATCACCACCGCGGTGGCTGCAACCTTGAGGAGCTGAGGGAGGAGGAGGAGAAGCTGCCACCAAGCCGCGCTGGGGAAAAGTTGGCAGCAGGCGGCACGAGGCAAGCGTGAGGTTCCAAAGAGGCAGCCAGGCGAGCCGAGGCAAGGCAAGGCAAGGCTCCGGCAGGGAAGAAAGGAGGGAGGGGGCCTCCAAAGCACAATCGGTGGTGGGAGGGACCTCCGAGATGCCTCCCATGGTAGTTGGTGGAGAAGCCCTGGAAGACATCCGGAGGCGCGATCGGTGGACTAGAAGGGGAAGGTGGGGAAAGTGCAGGATTTGAATTTGGCGCTTTCCACGCCTCCCCTTTCTGGTCCGCAGGTCGATTCTCTGGCCACAAGGGAAATTTTGCAGCCGGAGAAGTCCGTAACTTGAAAATTTCGTAAGTGGAGCCCTGCATAAGTCGAGGGTCCACTGTATATGGAATAGATATAGAGAGAAGTTATGTCCCTCGACTTCGCCATTAAAATTATTGACTGGAATAGGAAATTTTCCTATAAAACTAAAGGGTTTAATAGATTTTTTTAAAGAATAAAAATGTTGCAAGATTGAAGGATTGGATGAGTAAAATGAAATTGAATGATCAGATTATGGTCAAACTTCAACCTAATAAACTATCATGGTATAATTATATTCAGTTAGACAGTTGGACAAATGAATGGTTGAAAATTAATGGTAAATGTAGAGAATGTGCGAACTATTTCTATCATTACATGAAGATGTGCAAAAAGATGCTTTGATGAAAGGAGTAGTAAGTAGAATATATAATATAATTTTGGAACAACAGGAAAAAGGGATAGGAACAGAAGATTTGAAATTAATTTGGGAAAATAATTTAAATACAGCAGTTAAAATAGAGGATTAGATAAAAATGTGGAGGATGAGAGTTTTAAGGTTAACGTCAGTAAGAATAAAGGAAAAACTTTAAAAAATCTGTTTAAGGCGGTATATGACTCCTGTGAAATTGAATATAATACATTCAGATTACTCTAAAGCTTGTTGGAGTTGTGATGAAAAAAGTGGCATGTATTATCATATGTGGTGGGATTGTAAATTGATTGAGAAATTTTGGAAACTGATTTTTAAGGAAATATGTGATAGATTTGGTAAAGATATTGAATTTAATTCTAAAATTGCTTTGTTGTCAATTTTTCATAAGATAGATTTTGATTATTGTTCGAAGGAATTTATTTCTAACTTTATGACAAGTGCTAAAATATTAATAGCTAGTTTGGAAAGATAAAATGATATTAAATTAGAAGATTTGTATGGTGAAGACATTGCATTAAATGATAAATTGACTACTGAACTCAAGATGAAAAGAGGTGAAATAAGTTCAAATATTTTTATGCTATTTGGGGTAGATTGGTTGAATTTGTATTAGTGGAAATTTGTAATAAAAATATTGTTCAGTGGGGTCCCGTGGGTATGGGGTGCAGGTATAATGAAGTATGGGACATTGCATTAAATGATAAATTAACTACTGAACTTAAGATGAAAAGAGGGGAAATAAGTTCAAATATTTTTTTATGCTATTTTGGGTAGATTTGTTGAATTTGTATTAGCAAAAGGAAAGGGGAAAGTGTCTAAACAACAATCAATACAACTTTGGAAAGGAAGTTCGTATTAAAAGTATTGTTCGAAGGGGTCCAGTGGGTATGGTGTGCATGGTAGTTTAGATTGTACAGCAAGTATTTTGCATTTTTGTATTTGTTTTTGTCCTTAAAAAATAAAAAAAATTAATATATATATAAATAAATATATAATATATATATTCTCAGAGCATGAAGCATGAAAACAACCTGGTGTTGTTTCAATACTGTGAACCTGCTTCACATTCACAGTATGGGTTGCCTCTCTTTGTTTCTTCTGGCATTAGTAGTCTGGCTCTTTATCCTTGTGGGCACATCTGATCTTTCGTTTTGATATGTTTATGCTCTGAACTTTTATACTGGCCCCTCTGTTGGAGGGGGAGTGATTGGATGATCCTGTTTTAAGTGGGAGGTTGGAATGTTTGGTTCTTTCTAGTCTTTAGTTTCTAAAATTCACTGTCACTGAATTCAAAGGGCATGTGAAGTGGATTAGGCAGAGACTATGTTCAATAAGCTTCAGCTCTAACTGAATTCATTATCCATTCCGTTTTGCTCTTAGATCACATCCAAATTCAGCCAGTGTATTTGCTGACTTAAATCTAATCATTAATCATCAATAATATGGGATTTGTGCAAGTGTTGATTTGACGGGTTTACTCTAGTGGGGCCAAACAACTGGGTAGCCCATTTATTGATTCTCAATACATAGCATCCTAAAACTGAAGAACTGCAACAGTTATGTGAGCTATGAATTCACTGGTTAAACACATACTTCATTGGATCTCCTAACCTGAGTGTACTAGGTAAGTTTTCACTTAATGTGAAGGTGTGATCAGACAGAGGTTTGTCCCACAGTTTGGTCTTTTTTGCAAAGGGGGCTAGTTCACTCCTTTTTCTGATGACAACATGATGTACAGGCAATCGCAAGCCAGCCTATCTCTTATCCTTGCCTAACTGCAGCTTTTGGAATCCCTGCCAGGGACTACTGTTTTGTTTTGTTTGTTTTCTGTTTGTTTTCTGTGCAGGCAGGATCACCCCATTTTGGTTTGGTTCTAGTGTGTGTGATCACCAGGATCAGACCAAAGTGGATGGCTTACGTTGCTGTCTTGCTTAAGCTGCTTCAGAATCTAATCAATCATTAAAAAACTGAAAGCTTCCTCCCACTCCCTTGTGACAGGCAAGACAGAAGAGGATGCAAAGACATTTTGCAAGGTTCTTTTTAAAGCCCTTGTAAACCAGTGCTGAACTGGTTGATCGGCCAGGCAATTCAGTTCTGTTCCACCTGGAAATAATTTTTTAAAACATTAAAAGCTTCTTGCCATTCCACCATGGAGGAGGTGACAAGGAGGGGAGTCCTTTGGGGAGGGGGGTTGGGTTTTGTTCTTTCTTTTTAAAGGGAGGAAGGCTACATAGGGTCACCTGAGGTGTGGTGTGGTTTCCTGCGCCCAAACGGCCAGTTCCTTGCATCCAACTGGAATGACGTCCCCCCCCCATGGCATACTGCACCTCAAAGTGATCGTGTTTTAGGATGATCCAGCTCTATCCAGCCTGAGACAATTCAGCAATCTAGTTGCACCCTCAGTTGAAGGTGCACCTATGGAAGCAGATCATTAATTTCAGATACTTAAACACATCTCACTGTGCTGCTACCTAACAGACCGTGTTCTTATTCTTGATGGTGTAAACATACCCAATTTTCTCACTGCAGATAATTCCAGATTTCAAATATATTTTCAGTTGCATAAAAAAACCATGAACTTTTATCTCTTTTAGCGTCAACCGACAGTCTTCCACTTCCATCACCTACCAATCCAAAAAGAGGTATAAATTGCTCCTATATGCAGCTGCTAATAGTTAACTGTGTTGCTTTCCATTTGCCAGCTAGTGAAACATTAATTACCTTCTTATCAATGGCAATTTTCTTTTTCTGACCACTAATAATTTACTTGCCGCTTGGACCTGCTGTTACCTGCGAGAGATGGTTGCTTTCCATTGATTTTTGAGCTGTTCCTTGAAATCATCTATTCCTAGGCTGTTTTGTTTTCCGAACCTTATCAACCTTTTAACTTCTCTACAGCGGAGATTCTGACTGTTATCTTTCCACAGCTGACCCAGCTTTGCTAAAATCTTTTATTAATGAAGCAGACTGCTTTTCTATTCTTCCCGGAGACTCTTTTTCCTTCATTGCAAATTCTAATCTGCCTGTACTCCTACTTTGGCAGTAATGCTAGATGTTCTTGTTTTATTATCTAATCCACAATACTGAAGAGTCTGATTTTTTTTTTTACTTAGTATTGTTTTTCTCCCCACTGAGATTTTCTTTAGGAAATTGATTTTGCTGAGAAAAGTACTGTAAAGCCTAGTATGAAGTTATTTCTTCTACTTTTGTGAAATTATTTCTTCTACTTTTTTTTTAACAAATAGTGTACTGTGACCTGATCTGATCATTTGATGTGCTCTAATACACCTTATTTCGTTGTGTACAGCATCTTGCAAGATCCGTGCTCTGAAAGGCAGTCATACTGACATAAAGAAATAAAGAATTAAAATTTGTATTTATCTTTATTAGCACTAAACACAGTTATAATGGGACATCTCAGTTTTGTAACACATGCTGAAAATTCAGGACAGCACTAGAAGGCATTTGTGATTGGGACACACTCAATAAATCAATGTAGTTTACAACTCAGACTGGTCTTTCATAGCAGAGGTAGTTGATCAGTGCACTTCAGGCCTGATGAAGCCCCACTGAGCCATTTCATGTCTGCCCACAATACTAAATGAAATTAAGGTGTGATAAGAAAAATGCTTGAATAATGACTGTATGCATGTTAATAACTCTGGCTGACATCTTTTGAAATAATATAATGAACAGTGGCCAAGTTCTGTATCTTCCCATCCTGTTTTAAAATGTTCTAGAAATCTGTTGTACATTTTAAAGTTTCAGAATCACCATCAGTTAGGTCTTTAAACGCTACTTTGGGCTAATTGAGCAATACCTTAATATATATTTCCCTGTTGTAAATAGTAACTTGAAAAGCACATGGGGTCAGTTCAATAACAGCCAATTTTCCATAGTTACCTTTTAAACCTCAACTTTCGCCAGCTATTGTGAAATTATTTCTTCTACTTGCCTCATGGGACGAAAAACCCGCAAGACAATTGGTTTTTGCAATCACTATGGTGCCTTGCAATATTTTTTTTCTATGACCGTGCTTCACAAGACTTTTTTTTTTTTGAGACCGATGCTTCGCAAGACTTTTTTCTTTGAGACCGATGCATAGGGAACCTCGCAAGATGATTTTTTCAAATATGACGATTTTAGCGAACCTCGCAAGATGATTTTTTCAAATATGATGATTTTCGTGGAACGAATTTAAATCGTCTTGCGAGGTACCACTGTATAATCTTTGATCAAGATTAGAGATGTTTAATAGTAGCCTTCTGGTGCAACTTGGCCTTGTGATTTTTTCACCACATCTAGTAAACAGAGCAGCCCAAAACATTGTGGTGCCTGAAATAGAGCCACAAAACACACACACACATACACACACACACACACACACACACACACACACCAGCTCCCCAAACTAAAGATGCTCCGTACTTATAGTTACCAATTATTTCTGTCATTTGAAGTGGAACAAATATGTTTTCCCCTGATATTAAAAAAATGCAATGCTTACAAATTAAATGGCTAACAATTTGCTGCCCTGTTATGGCACATAGAATCTGCTGCCTGAGGCAAGTGCCTCACTGTACCTTTTCTCAGGGCTGATCCTGAGGAGAGACCACAGCAACCTGGAGTGTAAACTGAACCAGAAATGGTTTGTGCCAAGTGCTGCGTGTAAAAAAAGCAGTACAAGCAGTGCTGCTTCTAAGCTCACAGGCAGCCCTCTCGGGACAAAGAGAGGGGACACCACAAGGCCTCTTCTCCTTGCTGTTTGGAAGCGTTCTGGTGAAACCAAGGAGGTGGTACAGAAGAGGGAACCAGTCCCTTCTGAAACAGATTACAGTGGTGTCTCGCATTACGATGTTAATTCGTTCCAGCGAAATCGCTGTAGAACGAAAACGTCTTAAAGCGAAAATTAAAAAAGCCATTGAAACGCATTAAAACCTGGTTAATGCATTCCAATCGGCTAAGAACTCACCGTCCAGCGAAGATCCTCCATAGGGGTGGCCATTTTTGGGTGCCTGTGCAGGGAAAAATGTCTACTAAACACAGCGAGGAGCCATTTTGAGCACCTGGCAGCCATTTTGAAAACCCGACGATCAGCTGTTTTGATCATTGGGAAGCGAAAATCAGTTCCCGAAACAGGGAACCAATCATTGCACAGTGAAATTCCCCCATTCAAAACATCATTTTGCAATCGCTTTTGCGATCGCAAAAACCTCGTCGTAGTGCGAATTTGTCATTAAACGGAGGGCCCGTCTTGCGAGGCACCACTGTACTGGGGTACAGCTGGGGTTCAAATTTTCATTAGGAAGGAGATTGTCGCTCTAGACATCAGTCTTAATTGTTGAGTTAATTGCTTCTATTTAAAACAGTTCATTTGAAATCAGTTTTTGGAAACCACTGAATCCGTGTTAAGGAACTACCTTCCATGCTCAGCAGGTGTGGTTTTCCTCCCATTCAAGTCGGTGTACAAGGGAAAAGAACTGGCAGGCCAGGGTTGGAGAAATGATGCTCCCCCCCCCATTTGTTGGTGAATTGCATGGTGGGGGTTACTGGGCATTCTATTTAAAAAAATCTGGAGGCTCCCCATTCTCCGTCTGCAAATGAGGTAAATACAACCCACCCTCCCTGGAAACTAGTACCATCTTATCATTGGGAAGATGTGGGATATGCATTCTATATGAAATGACTGTTGGAGCTACCTTTAACTATCCTAAGAATGCTGATGTTGTAAATGTTTTTAGATAATATTAATTATTAACAACTAACAGGTGGAGCAACCTCTTCTATTTTTTTTCTTGATTAAATTGTGGTTTTTAATCCAGACTTGAAAGCAACAGTGTTAGAAGTACATGCCAGCTTTCCAGGTATAATCTCTCCATCCTTTTATCTGGAACTTTCAGGTGGTATCTCCGAACATCCTTCAGAAGCAATCGCCCCCTGGATGCTTTATCAATCTTGATCTTCCAGTGTACCAATAATTTGCTCACTGCTTTGCTTTGTTTGTAGAAGTCCAGGCCAAACCTATACATCAGCCCCAGCTTCTCATGGTCCAGCTCCATACCCAGGCTACAGCGAAGCCCCAGCTCCTGCTTCAAAACCCAGAGTTGTCACCACAGCCAGTATAAGGCCCTCAGTCTATCAACCAGGTAAGGTAATTCCAAACAGCTAAAAAAGGGAGTGTTCTTTAAACAAAGGACACATGGGCATCCCTTGTAATTCAATCATTCAGAGCTAAGCAAAAAACAGCAACTCATACTGTAAGAAAAAGAAGACACAGCTCTGGTGTATATATTTATACCGACACTGGTATAAATCTAATTATCTAAAAAAAATGGGAAAAATCACACATATGTATGTGTAATTACACATGAGGGAAAAATCACACACGCACACATACAGGGGTGTGNTAGAGGTGTGTGTGTGTGATTTCCCCCCCATTTTTTTAGATAATTAGATTTATACCAGTGTCGGGTCATGGCTAAGATGTTGGGCTGGGGTTCAAATATTTCTGCAGAGCCATTAAAACACACTGGGTGACCTTAGGTTGTTCAGCATTGCTTAGATAGAACTGCCTCACAAGGCTGATATGCAGATATAACTGGGAAATAGGAGAGCCATTTGGGCCATTTTGAGTTTGTGGGAGGAAAGGCAAGATATGAACAGAATAAATAAATAAATAGCTTAAAGATATAGTCCAAAAAAGAGAGAAGCAGACTAAATGTTGGACTAATTGAATAAGGCCTAAATGCCATTTCTACACTGTAAAAAATGCTCATTTTTCTGCCACAGTGAATTCTGTGTGGGGCAGCTGAGAACATCACTGGGTGACCTTAGGTTGTTCAGCATTGTTTAGATAGAACTGCCTCACAAGGTTGGTATGCAGATATGACTGGGAAATAGGAGAGCCATTTGGGTCATCTTGAGTTTGTGGGAGAAAAGGCAATGAACAGAATAAATAAATAAATAGCTTAAAGATATAGTCCAAAAAAGAGAGAAGCAGACTAAATGTTGGACTAATTGAATAAGGCCTAAATGCCATTTCTACACTGTAAAAAATGCTCATTTTTCTGCCACAGTGAATTCTGTGTGGGGCAGCTGAGAACATGGCTGGGGATACAGAGATGTCTTGGTGTGGGGGGTAGATGTTGCTTGCAGGCCACATATTATCCACCTCTGGCTTGAAGAATTCTTTAAAAAGTGAGTGGGTGTACCATTTAATTGCAATTTAATTAAAGGTTCCTTCGGTGGGAACTAGAATAAGGAACATAGAAAACGACCTTCTTCCAAGGCCAACCATCTATTTTGCACTGTTTACACTGAACGGCCACACATCCCTCTCAGATCTTCTACTGTTAGTAAAGCACTTCACTCCTCCTACCTTTCACTGTCTCTCTATCTGTCTGTGTTATATGTGTGTGCACACGCACAAATACACACTTCTCAAGTCGATTCTAACAAGAGTACTCAAAAGTACAGTAGTTCATCATTCCCTTCTTCTGGGGGCATCTTGGGATTGCGCAGCTTGCCCACAACGTCTCTTTCTTCTGGGATGCAAAGTGGGGGGAATTGAACTCGCAGCTTCTGGCTCTGCTGCCAGATAGCTAACTCTCTGAGCTATCCAGCCATCACCATTCATTTACCAAATAAAGAAAAGAGTGCTTATACCGGTTAGTTCAAACTCCCTTTATTATACATTTTTAAACCTTTGCCTCCTCATGCCTTGGGAACCAATGGGCTTTTTTTACAAAATCAGTTCATAAGCATTAGATACAGGATTTTATGGCAGAAGGGAGCCTATCCGAGGAAGCTGGCTGTGGTTTGCAAAACCTCATGCCAAACAAAAAGTGTTAGTCTTTAATGTACCACAAGATTCTTTATTGTACATGAAGGTCTGCAAATTTCAGTTTCCCAGTCCGGTCACCAGGCGGCAGGATGTCCTTGTTCTTGCCTAGTGTTTCCCCAGCACTTTCAGAAGTATATGCAGACTGTGGTTTAAACTTCCAGTCAGCAGCATGAGACAGCCCATTCAGACACATACTGGCACTCACTTGGTTACTGTATTGTCTTAGGTGTGGACGAGGGTCCTTCATCTGGATATTAAGGCCTGCTCTACACATGCAGTAGAATGAGGTGGTAATGAAGTGGCACGATATTGAACCAGTGGAAATGACATCATATGAGAGTGCATAAGCAACGATCCATTTATTTTATATTCCCATATATAAAAAACAAAACCCCCAGAGAGGTCTCTGAAAGTAGAAAACAAACAAAAGAGGAAACAGTTTGGGCTACCATCCTTCCCACAGATGTGATGGGCCCTTTATTTATATGCAGCATTCAAAATGGCATCTTCCCCCATCCCTTCCCAGCACTTCATTCTGGGGTACTTATCACCTTCCACATGAAGGGAAACATCCCCTCCCTTCCCCCCATTCTCATCATTTTTAAATAAATACAGTTATTTCTTATGTCAATAAATGAGGCTGCAATTAAGTTTTGTTTTTTTAATCTAAAACATACCTTGGAGGGAATCCCATCACACATTTTATCTCAGTACATAGGTTTCCCTCTCTTCATGTTGCTGTTAATGTTGGGCATGAAGGCTATCCAGGTGCCAAACAATGAGGAGAAACTTCAAGACTCCTCCCTGCACTCCCTTCTTGAATTTCTTATTTTTTTTTTAAATTTCAAACTAGGCTTGAAGTCAACATTTCTGCAAGCAGAAGACCATTCTCTATCCAGCTTATATTCAGCTTCAGAAACACTGCTCTGACATATATGAAGAATATAATAAGAGATACAAATGCAGTAATGTCATGTTTAAATAAGCAGCCACTTATTCTTGAACAGGGAGAAAAATAGAAACGCTACCAACACAAGAAATCGCTTTCGTCTAATTACAGAGTGCCAGAGGTGGGAGGCTTTTGAACTTAGCAATTAGAGATGAAATATTGCCCTCTAATTTTGACTGGCTTAATAAATACCATAAGACAGAAATAGTAGCACTCTCTGGCTTAAGGTGATTGTGTGGTGGGAAATTTGATTCAGAGATCTTTAAATGTCATTGTCATTTTTTGCATTAAAAAGAAGCCCAGAACTA